CTGGTGCAGAAGTTGCTGACACCTTGAACTTGAGACAGAAAGGCCGAGAGAAACTCTGGTGAGCTCAAAGGCTGCCCAGGCCCGGGCAGGTGGAAGGACTGCCTTGGAAAGCCCAGTGAATCAGAGCCATGGCTGCCACAGGGCCTGGGAATCTGTATTCTAAAGCAGCACTCCAGTAATGTAGACAGTGCACTGAGAGTCATGCAAACAAGGGCTTCTCAAAGCCGTTCTGATGGCAACTCACAGAATGTCACACACACATGCACACACACGCACACACACATGCACACACACGCACACACACACGCACACACGCGCACATAGCCGCGACAGGCACGGCTGCGGGAGCAGCACTGTGCTGTGGTCGTCTGTGGACTCAGACACACCCACACACCCACGTGTACACACGGGTACGGCCCTCTAGCCAGGGCTGGGGAACCTTTTGTCTCCCATGGGCCATTGGGATATTTATAACATTCACGGGCCACACAGAATGATCAACTGAAAAATCAGCCTGCTGTAGATCTGCTGAATTTTGCGTCCTGCCTGTGGTTGCCTTGGCAATGCCACACCCAGTGATGTCCTGGGCTTCCTGCCGGACAGCCCCTGGGTTCTATGCCCACTGCTCTGGTTCTATGACCCACGAAGGGACCAGGACTGCAGCCTGAAAACACTGTCCCGACCCATAGCGCTTGTGCAGGTGGAAATGCAGAGGCCCAGGAAGGGAAAGGGGCCTGCAAGTCCACTCCAAGGTCAAGGTCACGACCAGAACCCAGTGTCTAGTTCTTCGTACTTGTACTGCCCCACACTCTGATCTGTAGAACACCTGCGAGGGGTGTGTGCGGTTTCTGGGTGAGGTGGGCTATGAGACCCCACGCTTGGCCCCACAGCTGCAGAGGGTCTCCTGGGCTCTGGGAGCCGGGGTCCAGAGGTCCCTGAGATGCCTGGGGCACCTCCAACAGCCACTGGCTTTCACAGAGGCCAGGCTCCCCCACATCACACTTTATTTTCATTTTATCTTTTTAGAGATTCAGGGGTCAGACTTGCTCTTCTTATATTATTTTTGAAGATTTATTTATTTGGGGGCCGGTGCTGTGGCATAGTGGGTAAAGCCATTTTTCAAAAGAGGAAACCAAAATGGCCAACAGACACATGAAAAATGCTCAGGATCTCTAGCCATCAGGGAAATGCAAACCAAAACCACCATGAGGTTTCACCTCACCCCAGTTAGAGTGGCTCACATTCAGAAATCAACCAACAACAAATGCTGGTGAGGATGTGGGGGAAAAGGGACCCAAATCCACTGTTGGTGGGAATACAAACTGGTAAGGCCACTGTGGAAGTCAGTATGGAGATACCTCAGAAATCTGAATACAGACCTACCATACGACCCACATCCCACTCCTGGGAATTCACCCAAGGGAAGGGAAATCAGTAAACAAAAGTATTATCTGCACCCCCATGTTTATTGCAGCTCAATTCACAATAGCTAAAACATGGAATCAACCTAAATGCCCATCAACCGAAGACTGGATAAAGAAATTATGGGATATCTACTCTATAGAATACTATACATCAGTAAAAACAATGAAATCCAGTCATTTGCAACAAAATGGACGAATCTGGAAAACATCATAATTAGTGAAATAAGCCAGTCCCAAAGGGACAAATACCATATGTTCTCCCTGATCTGTGATGACTAATAGCACACCTAAAGCAACATCTGTAGAAGTGAAATTGACACTTTGAAATAAAATAAATAAATTTTTTAAAATATTTATTTGAAAGGTAGAGTCACAGAGAGGCGGAGGCAGAGTGAGAGAGGTCTTCCATCTGCTGGTTCACTCCCCAAATGGCCACAGCACCCATGACTGGACTGGTCTGAAGCCAGGAGCCAGGAGCTTCTTCCAGGTCTCCCACACAGGGGCAGGAGCCCAAGGACTTGGGCCATCTTCTACTGCTTTCCCAGGCCACAGCAGAGAGTTGGATAGGAAGTGGAGCAGCTGGGACTTGAACCAGTGCCCATATGAGAAGCTGGAACTGCAGGTGGTGGCTTTACCCGCTATGCCACAGCGCTGGCCCCCAGAGTGTGTTGATTTTTTTTCTAGCAACAAAACCACACCTGGACCAGCAGCTGCGGTGGGAGGCACTGCTGGCTGTCGTCTGCAGTATTCCACTGTCTTTCTCTCTCAGACATCTGCCTTCTACACAGGCAGCCAGACGCATTCACGTCCTCGAGTGAGAATTTAAAGCCCCAGACTCATCATTTTCTCTTCCAAGTTCTCCAAACCCTTAGTGTTCTTTCTTTCCACTGAAATGCACTGTGAATCATTTCCGGTCAGGTTCGGGGCTGTGAGGACAAGGCACCTGATAGGGTGTGTAGAAGCATTCACTTCGGTAGCTGTTTTATTTCAGCAGGCCTGAGACAGGCCATGCCCCCTTTGCCACCAAAAGCCAGTTATAAATGCTTTGAAATCAGAAGAGATAAGAAAAATGGTCCCAGAGGACTCAGAAGTGAGGCAGAGAGCCCATCCTGTCGCCCTGGTCCTCAAATTCTGTGGTAGCCGGGGGTTCAGGCCGGGGCAGGGCTGCCCAGTATGGAGCTCAACCTTTATAGACGGGACTTGACCTTGAGCAGGTGGGAGAGCAGGGTTAGGGCTCTACAGGAAGCGGCTTCTTCTGTGCCTGGGGCTGCAGCGTGAAGTTAGCCGAGCACCCTGTCTGCAAGGGAATACGGGTGTTGGGAGGATTGGGGGAGAGAGGACACATGGAGACCCCAAGGAGGAGGGGCCGCACGGGGTGAGCCAGAGCCAGGTGGATCTCAAGCCTTGGGCTCCCCACTTCATCACCCTGCAGGAGAAGCCGGCCCCCTCACTTCCCGAACTAAACTCCCCTGGCCCCAGGGGAGGAGATGGTGAAAGCAGAGATCAGCAGGCTCCCTCCCGCCCGGCCGGCCAGCAGGTCCTGGACAAACGTGCCTGAGCCTCAGGCAGAGCTGGGGCCCAGCTCTGGCTTCCCGAGTGTAGACAGAACACAGCTGCGGCTTTGCGGGTGCCTTCCAAACCTCACACAAGCACCCCCGGGGCCCTGCCAACCCCGAACTCGGCACGGAAAGAACTCTGGGAAGCAGATTTTAGCGGTGGTTACACAACCCGAACTTACCACAGCCACCCCGAAGGAACCAAAACGTGTTCTTGTCGCAAGACCTGGCCCGGGCTCCCCTCGCGCCATCTGTCCTGCAGCCTAAGAACACGGCTCCGCCATCAGGCAGCCGCTTCCCGCCCACCTGTCTTCCTTATCACCTGTGTGGTCTCAGGCAGAATACTTCGCTTCCCTGAGCTTCAGTCCCACTCCTCCCTGGGGTGGAACACCTGCCTGGGTGGGTAGTGGGGCGGCAGAGTGAGGATGACCTTGTCTGTGTGGTGGCCCGCACAGGGAAGGGACCCAGTGCACCTGCTACTGCGTCGTTTCTTCTCTCTCTGCCCTCACTCCTTCCGCCTGGACCCATGCGCTTCCCCGGACTCCTGTTCAGTTTGGTAACAGCTAGGAGCGAACTCCTCCCCCTCCCGAAGCCACGCCCTCATCATGATCGCTTTGCACACCCTCAGAGGAGCACATTTGTATCGGAAGCCTGGTCTCAGACTGCAGCAGAGAACCTCAGACAATCTGTCCATGCGGTTTGTGTTCTCTGCCTACTCTTACACAGAGATGTGGCTTGGAGGCATGGTCTGTGCATTGCAGCACTTTCCTTTATTTTTAAAGATGCATTTATTTAGTTAGAGACACAGAGAGAGAAATCTTCCACCCACTTCTTCACTCCCCAAGTGGCCGCAATGGCTAGGGCTGGAACAGTCCAAAGCCAGGAATCTGGAACTCCGTCCAGGTCTCCTATGTGGGTGCAGGGGCCGCAGCGCCTAGGCCATCACCTGCTGCTTTCCCAGGCACATGAGCAGGGAGCTGGACCGGAAGTGAAGCAGCCAGGATTGGAACCATGGGGCTTAACCCACCGCGCCACAAGGCCAGCCCCTGCAGCAGCTTCCGGAGAAGGGCAGCCACGTGGCTTTGAGAGGGACCCGCCTTCTCCTGCCGTCCCCGGCAGAGGCAAATCAGCCGGTTTAGAAGCCTCCTCCCAGTCTCGGGCCTCGCGTAGCTTTCCCGGCTTCTCCAGAGCGGCTCACGGCAGCAGACGTGGGTCCAGGGCAGCAGCAGTGGGGTCCTTCCATGGAGGACAAAGCTCAGAGCCCCGGCCAGACTGAAAGCCCAGGGGTGGCCCCTGGCCTCCGGAGAGGCAGTTAGAGCCGAGAAGGAACGGAACTGCAGTCCAAGGGGTCCTCAGGGGTGGGAGTGGGGGACAGGTGAGTCCTTGAACGGCTCTGGGTCCCCTTTTCTCTCTTTGTGGTCAGAGTTGAAGGTTGAGAAGGTGGTGGTTTGGAGCCACTTCTGCTGTGAGTGTGCTGAACAACCTGGGGAAAGTCTCCCAACCTCTCTGGACCAAATGTTTTGGACTTAAATAAAAGTTCTCCATGGTTCCTTCCAGCTCAGATCCCCAGGGGTCACAGCCTCCCTCGCCTGTTTTGGCACGATGGCTCTAAGCTGGGGGGCTCTAGCGAGAAGGGCTCCACAGCCCCCTCCTGCAAAAGGAGCCAGCGAGACCACCCCACTTGCCCCTTGACCCCTATGGGGAGAGAGAGAAGCCCACCACCCAGAATGCTGAGATAGGAGAGAAATGGCTTTGGAACAAAGCTTCTCATTTGCCCCACCCACCCATGCGAAGTGATCTGGGGGACGGCTTTGATCTTAAAAATTGCCTGAACAAGTCGGGTATCAGAGCCCCACTTCTGCTGCACAGGCGGACACAGATTCTAAAGCTGCACCGGACACCTCTGAAACACCAGGGCTTTCAAGGCCATCTCAGACAGTCTCATCGCTGGAGGCTTTTAAATACAGCCCCCATGTTCTTTAAAAATTGAATTATATGTCTGCAGTCTTTTTCCATTTTTTGAAAGATTTATTTATTGGAAAGTTAGAGCCAGAGAGAGAGAGAGAGAGAGGTCTTTCATCCACTGGTTCACTCCCTAGAAGGCTGCAACGGCCAGCGCTGAGCAAGGCTGAAGCCAGGAGCCAGGAGTTTCATCCAGGTCTCCCCTGTGGGTGGCAGGGGCCCAAGCACTTGGTCCATCTTCCATTGCTTTTCTCAGATCTTTAGCAGGGAGCTGGATCAGAAGTGGGGCAGCCAGGACACGAACCAGTGCCCATGTGGGATGTCAGTGTAGCAGGTGGTGGCTTTACCTGCTACACCACAATGCCGGCCCTACAGGGCCCATGTGTCACGGGGAAAGTCTGGGGTCTGCGGGGTGCAGGAGGTGGGGGGCCTCTGCTGGCGGGGGGGACTCTCCACCATTTGGGACTCCTTCTTCTTCCTGCAGCCTTGGTATCGGATGCCCCTTTACAAATGGTAGATGAGCTGCGTCTGTTAATGTCCTTACTTGGTAAAGATAAACCCTGTCGCAGAACCCTATTTTTTTTTTAAATTCCTGCTCAATGCCATGCCAGAAGCTCTGCACCCCCCGGGTGGGCCTGAGGTGGGGTTCAGGAGTTTGATCTCGTGTTACCAGGAACATGATAAATTCTGCTGTCAAGCAACCGAACTTCACCCGAGAGGTTTGGGAACGGCCCCAAGGCTGCTCACACAGCAGGGGAAGTCAGAGCTGGGGTTCAAGTGCCACCCTCTCTGTGTGAGAGCTGCGGCCACCAGGGTCACCCACGCATGGAGGACGTGGCCAGGGCTGCAGAGGACCCTGGTGGCAGGGCGGTGAGCCCAAGAGGAAGCCACGTGGAGGACCTGGGGGTATCTGCCACCACCTCCGACTCGGTCGCTGCAGGCCATGTTGGGCTCCTGCCCCGGCAGCACAGGGGATGCTGGCAGCACAGGACAGTGCCTGTGTGGATTCCGCCAGCCACGGCAGTGAACTTCATCCAGCCTCTGTCTGGCAGGTGTCTGCAGCCACAGTTGCTTCTTCTTCTGGAAAACTCCTCTGGGGAAGGGGTCGAGGTGGGTGCAGGCCAAGCCTGTGGTCCGTCCAAGCCTGTGGTCCGTCCCAGGACAGACCCTGCAGGTAGGTGGGAGATGGCTGCCGGTGGGAGTGGAGTGCACCCAGACCCAGAGGTTCCAAGTTCAAGTCCAGGGACCAGAGTCACTCCTGAGGGGCCCTGGGGTGGGGATGCTGGGTGGAGCGTGGCCCTGGGGCTCCTCCAAGCCCAGGATATCCACGAAGAAAGCTTGAGGGCACAGCCACGGGAGCCGGCCGTGAGAACCCCGGGGGCAGCCAGGCGGTGGGCAGGGTGGAGGTGGCGGCCTGGCCGGGGCTGGTGGAGATCAGCTAGGTGCAAAAGAAATTGGGGTAGTAGCGGTAGTGAGGGTTGTAGCTCCAGAGGTTTCTCTTCAGGCAGTAGACGAACTTGCGGTCGCAGGTGCACAGTAGCATCTGGCACAATGACCCCAGCTCTGCAAAAGGGGACCCCAGCACAGGGTGAGAACAAGATGAGGCCGCACCGACTGGCACTCCCTTCTAGCCTAAGCAGGCTCCCCAGGCCGCTGCCTGCTCCAGGGAGCTCTCTGTCTAATGAGGGAGGCATGGCTGCCAAGCTAGGGAAACACATAGTCTGATGGGAGAGGCACTGCTGCTGCCCAGGGTGAGGTTTCAGTCCAGGGACACACAGCTCCTGCATTTGGGTAAGTCCCAGTCTGATGGAAAAACACATCCTCTCCCCTTTGGTGGGGTACCCAGCCTGATGGTGGAGACAGCGTCTGGGCTGTGGGACTCCTAGCGGAGACACCATCCCCAGGCTTGGAGCTCAGCTCAGCCCTGGCAAGCTTTGGGCTTCAGGGCCCTTTTATGTAAAGCGGGGGCGGGGGCGGGGAATGAAACTGACTCCAGGATGTGCTGGGGAAGAGCAAGTGAGAGAACCCAGCAAACGTGGCCCCGTGGCAATGGCGGGTGGCAGAGGCTGCACCACCCCTGGCAGCAGGAGTGCTGGCCCTCATCCCCGGCTCTGCCCCTCCACACATGGGCTGGCTGTTACCCAGAGCAGCTGGGATCCCGCTCTGCCAGTGGGCTGGGCGGGAAGGCAGGGGCTTACCGCAGGTGACCAGGCCCCGGGCAAAGCGGTACTTGTAGGACTGCGTCCGGATGTTGCAGGCTCTCTCCTCCAGCCGCCCGTAGCACTTGTCATGCACCCAGCAGCACCTGGCGACACAGGAGACTCAGATCCTGAGGAGGGAGGACACCCCCGCCCGCCTCGTCCCTGTGAAAGTCACCGACACCGAGATGAAAGCCTTCTTGTCGGACCCGCTCAAAATGAGAGCTGGGGTGTTACAGAGACGGAGGGCTCACGCCTGCCTGTCTGGGATAGCGACGCCCTAAAACCCCGCAAGAAATTCCATGCGCCTGTGCTTTGCATGCCTGGCACAGAGCACGCACAGCTTTCTGGAACAAGGTGTATCTTTAGCAGTCTTTATCCCACACCTGACTCGGAGGACACTCCCAGTACAGAGCACCTGCCCTGCGATGGCACCCACATCAGTGAGCTGACGCCAACCCCTGCCCTGGCTCTCCAGGGATCCCCAAGTAGGGATGCAACCCTTCTCCCTGTTTGGCTGATACAGACCTCCTGCCCTTTTCCTCAGCCTCCCAGTGCCCCACAGTTAACTGTAGCACACGGATTCCCTCTGCGGGGCCGGTACTCTCAGAAAGATCGCCCTGCTTATTATTGAGGCTGATGGGGCGGGGTGCAGGAGCGGCCCGAGGCGAGCCCACCTTCAGAGAGAACTCGGCCCTGCCCTCCCGGCGTGCACCCCCGCCCCGCACAGAGGCTCCCAGCTGACTTCATCTGGGAGCTGGTTTAGCTAAAGTCACCTTCCATGGGAGGGGTCTTCAAAATGCATATTGTGAAAAAACTGTGTGCAATTCAAGCCTTATTTTTATGCCAAAATAAACTCACCTTTAAATTCTACGTTTCCTGGAACTTGCTGCAGTGCCCTCGCACCCCTCTGGGGACCATAAAGGCCTCGTGGTTCCCGGCCAAGCCCTTTCTGATGAGAGGGCAAGAACTCTGCCTCTCACCCAGCTTCCCTCTGTCCATGCGACTTGGTGGATTTCAACTGTTGTGTGTTCAGGCTCTTTATAAAGAGGATTTATGTATTTATTTGAAATGCAGAGTGATAGAGAAAGAGGGACACACACACACACACAGATCTAGCCTCAATGGCCAGGCAGAAGCCAGGAGCCTGAACTCCACGCAGGTCTCCCACACGGGTGGCAGGGGCCCAAGTTCTTGGACCACCACCTGCAGCCTTCCCAGGTATGTTCAAAGGGAGCTGGATCAGCAGCAGAGCAGCCGGGACTTGAACCCGTGCTCCAAGGTGCGATGTCAGTGTTGCAGGCAGCAGCTTACCCCCCTGCACAGCGACGCCAGCCCCATGCACATGTCTCGAAATTCAAAGGATTGCCAAGGCAGCGCGAACCTTGGGGACTCGAGTCGGCTCTTCGTCAGACATCTGGGGGATCGTCTGAACTCCGAGTGTTTGCTCATGGCAGCACCAATTTAAAAGCCCACGACTATGAGGTCAAACAATCGGAACGAGACACGTTTCTCAGTTGGCATCCTGGAGCTTTAAAATGCATTCAGGACTAAAAAAAAAAAATGCTTTACTGCAAAATTCCCACCTCCAGGCAAAAAAAAAAATCCCTGCTTTTCCCCCTTCCACCCGGGGACTCCCCCGCCCCCACCATGAGCCTTCTCTAAGCTGAACTTGGTAACTTTCCCAAAACTGCTCCCGGGCTAACCCGATTCCTCCGTCCACAGAGGCCAGCTCAGCTCTCCGCAGGAGACCTCTCCGGAAATTCCAGGGGGAGAAAGCGAAAGTTAAAATGCGCTGGTCTAGACTATCGGCTGTCCAAGTAGAAACACTCAGAAGGCAGCACACGCAGGGGTGAAGTTGTTCTGTAAAAGACCCCGTCCTCTCACCGTCTCTGTCTCTCTCACACACAAATTTCTTTCTGAAAGAGACAGACACCCTGTCTTCAAGGAAACCGAGAAACCATTGCACACGTTGTGAAAATGACTCCGCCCACCGCCATCCGTTCACAGTGGAGCGCTCCGTGTGCAGTCCAGGGGGCGCCCCCGCCATGGACCTGCCTCCCCGGGGGTCTCACTCCCACAGGCGGCTTTCCACCCCACGGACAGCGCTCCCCTCCCCCGGTCCTGGAGCTTAGGTTCGATTTAATTCTCTGACCCAGCCGGGACCCTCAAAAGGCAGACAGTCCACGTAGGAACCTGAGACCTGACACAAGTGGCAGAAACGCTGAAAATCCCTTTCCCCAAACTGGCACCCCCAGATCTCCATCTGTAACACCCAGTGGAAAGAAAAGGGCTTTTCCTTGAAAACGCCTGACACAAATCGACTTCTACTTGTTGCATGTCCATGTATGCGTGCAGTATACACCCAGGCCTCCTGTGGATTTCTTTTCTTTTCTTTTCTTTTCTTTTCTTTTCTTTTCTTTTCTTTTCTTTTCTTTTCTTTTCTTTTCTTTTCTTTTCTTTTTTTTAACAGGCAGAGTGGACAGTGAGAGAGAGAGAGACAGAGAGAAAGGTCTTCCTTTGCCGTTGGTTCACCCTCCAATGGCGCTGCGGCCGGCGCACCACGCTGATCCGATGGCAGGAGCCAGGTGCTTCTCCTGGTCTCCCATGGGGTGCAGGGCCCAAGCACTTGGGCCATCCTCCACTGCACTCCCTGGCCACAGCAGAGAGCTGGCCTGGAAGAGGGGCAACCAGGACAGAATCTGGCGCCCCGACCAGGACTAGAACCCGGTGTGCCGGCACCACAGGCGGAGGATTAGCCTAGTGAGCCGCAGCACCGGCCTCCTGTGGATTTCTAAGAGGTCTGTTTTTCATTGGCTTGGAGATAAATGGGCGCTTAGAACCTGCCAAAAATACACTGGACTTAGCCCAAACACCTTCCGGTTCATACAACGTAAAGAAACCTTTGATGTAAATTTCTTGGTAAAAGGAAAGTGAAGATGCTTTCTGATTGCTAGTCTGAAGTTCCGCCCGGCTTTGCCAGGGCGATATTTGTCTCCACGAGATGTTTCACGTTCTCACCGTTTGACACAAAGGTCATGCAACTATAAACTCAGGGGCCAGCATCGTGGCACAGCTGGTTAAGCCATAGCCTGTTACCTGTATCAGAACAACAGCTAGAGTCCTGGCTGCTCCGTGTCCAATCCAGCTCCCTGCTAATGCACCCGGAAACGCAGCAGGTGCTGGCCCAGGGGCTTGTGCCTCTGACACCCACATGGGAGACCCTGGAAAAGCTCCTGGCTTCTGGCTTTGGATTGGCCCAGCTCCAGCCATTGTGGCCATTTGGGGGAGTGAACCAGCGGATGGAAGATCTCTCTCTCTCTCTGCCTTTCCTCTCTCTGTGTAGCTCTGACTTTCAAATAAATAAATAAATCTTAAAAAAATAAAACCTTAATTACAAGCAGCCTTGATGTTTAACTCTGAAGTCTGACGATTTTTTGAAATTTTCAACTATCTTATGCAGCTTTTTCTTATTTTACAGTTTTCATTTAGTTTTTCTTTAATTATTATTTGAAAGGCAAAAAGATAGGAAAGAGAGAGAGAGAGAGGGAGAGAGAGAGAGATTGGGAGAGAGATCTTCCATCTGTTGGCTCACTTCCCAAACGCCTGCAACGGCTTGCCCTGGGCCACGCTGAAGCTGGGAGCTGGGAGGGCGAGCCTGGGCTTCCAGGTGGTGGCAGGGACCCAGGGATGGCGCCATCAACAGCTCCGTGCGGGCTGTGCATTGCCAGGAAGCTAGAACTGGAAACAGAGCCGGGACTCAAAGTCAGCACCCCCACAAGCGCCGCAGGTGCCCCCAGCTGTGCCGCACGCCTGCCCCCTCCCCACATCTAACTTCCTAACCCGAGTGCTGACTCTGTCCGTTTCTCAGTCGACTCCTGCGGGTTTTCTTTCTCCCCAGCTCTGACCTGCCTTCGCGGCCTGACACTGATTCCTCGATTCTTGTCCTTCCTGGGTGTGTGTGGGTTGCTCCAAGTAACCAGACAATTGTGTGTGCTGCTTCCAGCAGCGTGCGTTCCCCCGATGGAGGGCCTGGTCTTCGTGTCCACTTCATCTATAGCACAGTGTGTGCTCGTAACCACCCTCCCAGCCCCTGGTAAACTCAAGTCCCTTTGCTCAGGTTTGACTTCCAGGTTATCCCAATGGGATTCCTGTAAGGAGAGACAATTGCGTCATCAGGGTGGTTTCTTGATCTTTTGGAAACGGGCCTCGGAAAACAAAGATCTTGTGCTTCATCAAGTCAGCGTCAGCATTTCACATCGCCTTTATGCAGGCCTCGAGTGCTTGGTAAAACCGAAACTTGGAAGCGTGCACGTGGTTTCTGTTTTGTTTCTCCTTTAGTTTTTGCATCAATTGGCTATCGAAGCCTTTTAGGGCTCACTCTGCCAACGAGTGACTACTGTTTCGTGCTGGTCAGAGATCCTGTTTGGGTCAAGCAGGCTTCCTCGGGCTCCAGGTTCTACATTAAATCTTTCTGACTCAGAATTAGCCTGGAGTTTTTTTTTTTTTTAAAGATTTATCTGTTTATTTGAAAGTCAGAGTTACACAGAGAGGAGAGGCATAGAGAGAGAAAGAGGTCTTCCATCCGATGGTTCACTCCCAGATGGCCGCAATGGCCGGGACTAGAACCGGCACCCATATGGGATGCCGGCGGGTGCTTCAAGCCAGGGCGTTAACCCGCTGAGCCACAGCGCTGGCCCCAGCCTGGAGTTCTTCCAGTCGGGCCCTTTCTAAGAGAAACCCAGAGGATGGAGCTTTCAGAGTGCAGGGATGACAAACGGGCTCAGCTTCCCTGGTATCTTGGAATGCATGAAACATTATCAAACAATGAAGTGATGGCAAATCTTTAAGCTGTATTCTGGAGCGGTTGTTGACTTGGATGTTCTAGAGATTACGTGAACTTCGTAAGTCTGATCGTCCCAGGATGAAGCTGTCAGTTACAATTCTTATTTTCAATGAAAGCAACTGAATTTTGTGGTCAGTTGCTGAACTCTTTTCAGAATTTTCACCACAAGGGGGCAGTGTGGCGAAGCGGGGTTAGCTGCCACCTGCGATGCCGGCATCCCATGTGGGTGCAGGTTCCTGGCCAGGCTGTTCCACTTCCCATCCAGCTCCCTGCTACTGCACCTGGGAAAGCAGCAGAAGATGGTCCAAGTGCTTGGGCCCCTGCCACTCATGTGGGAGACCCAGATAAAGCTCCTGGTACTGGGGTTAGGGCTACGCCAAGCCCTGGCTGTTGCTCGTCCTTAAACATTCTTGTCTCGGAGGTTCCAAGAAGCCTCGATCCCAAACCATCTGTAGCCGACGGCAATTTGGCAAAGCGCACTTCTGTGAACAAAGTGAAGATGCTTGCTTTCTTCCTCCTTCTCAATTACTCCAAATTAAAACAAATCTCTCTGTTGTTTGGTCTGTCTAATGGCACTATGGTTGCTTGCATAGGTCCAGTAACAATCTGCTTGCTTTATAACAGGAAACAACTGGAAACGCTGGCTGGAAATAGGAGGCTGTATTGTAAAATGTACATAAAACACCTGGCTTCCAGTAAGGGAATAGAAGTTGTTGATTCCTGGCAGGCCCAGGACTTCAGGCAGTTAAGTGCTACAGGTAAAACTGAAGTCTGCCTGGCTTTGGCTTTCTAGTCTGGGGAAGATTCTACATCTGAAATCATTATATGGAAAATCACTTTTCCTTGTATGTAAACAAAGTCATTTTCTAAACAAATTTATTTATTCATCTCTGATTATGTTTGTTAAAAATATAATAATAAAAATAATGTATGACTGCAGGGAAAAATATTAGGTATCTAAAAAAACACCATGCCTGAGGGCAGCATTGTGGCGCGGTGGGTTAAGTTGCTGCCTGCGATGCCAGCATCTCAACAGAGCACCAGTGAGCCCCAGCTGCTCCACTTCCGATCCAGCTCCCTGCTAGTGTGCCTGGGAGAGCAGGGGAAGACAGCCCACAGATGTGGGCCCCTGCCAGCCACATGGGAGACCCAGATAGAGCTCCAGGCTTCTCGCTTAGACCTGACCTATCCCCAGCCATTGTGGCCATTTGGGGGAATGAGCCAGCAGATGGAAGACCTCTCTGTATCACTTTGCCTTTCAAATAAATAAATAATTTTTAAACCTGCCTCCCCCCAACTATACTAATCTTGCCATTAGATTGTAGCTCTGGTCATTGTTTTTGAGGGTATTTTTTAAAATTTTTATTTGACAGGCAGTTAGACAGTGAGAGAGAGACAGAGAGAAAGGTCTTCCTTCCATTGGTTCACCCCTCAAATGGCCACCACGGCCAGAGCTTCGCTTATCCTAGCCAGGAACCAGGTGCTTCCTCCTGGTCTCCCATGCAGGTGCGGGGCCCAAGCACTTGGGCCATCCTCCACTACCTTCCCGGGCCACAGCAGAGAGCTGGACTGGAAGAGGAGCAACCGGGACTAGAACCTGCGCCTCAACCGGGACTAGAACCTGGCGCCCATATGGGATGCCGGTGCCGCAGGTGGAGGATTAACCAAGCGAGCCACAGCACCGGCCCCGAGAGTATTTTTTATTATTATCGATCTGTAGATTGTACTGAATTCTAAATTCTCCCAGTTTTCTCTAATATCTGGCTATAACTTTGCAACTAAGGACAGGAACCGCTCTGTTCTTACAACCCTACAAGCCAAAACAGGATAGAATAATGTAAATTTCCAAGGAGAAGTCTCACGTCTGATTCGCTGGCCACAACAACCCTCTGGTGCTACAACCAGAGACGTTTGAACTACAAACCAGGATGGAGAGTTGACTCAGAACTAGACTCCAAATCATAATAAACTCGTAAGTCTTTAGCTTTCTTCGTTTATTCCTGCCTTTCTTACATGACAGGATGATGGGATTGTTAAAATTTCATTAGTCCACCTAGTGGGCGGATTCGGCAACACCTCCATGTAAATCTTCAGGAAAAATGGCTGCAACAGGTCTCACCTCGTTCCTCCTGATCATTGGATGGGTTCAGTCGGTTACCTGCAAGCCTGGGTCATGGCTCAAAACCTTCAGGCAGATACTGAGGCTGTTGTTAATGCCACTTTCTTATTATTTCCTTTTAAAATTGTATGTGCTGTCTGAAGTCTCTGTGGAGGTATAAATCCTCGCAAAAGCCCCCTGGCCCAGCACTCCGAGATGACAGCCAGTGCCTACAGAAAAGCTCAGCAGGTCAGGCTGAGCGACGACCCGGGGAGACTCAGGCTGACAGCTCAGCTCCGGCTTCCTGGATGTTCAAGTGGGGTTAGGGGGCTCTCGACATTGACTTCCATCCGTGAATCTCTTTTCCCCTGACGTAGGCCATGACCGACCACCAGGACAGGTCCATCCCAGCACTGGGGGACACTTGAACCCTGGCCATAAGGTCACTGATCAGGGGCCCTTTTGGAGAAAGGTCATGATCAAAGGAGGGAGATGTGAAAGATGCTGACACGGGATGAAATCCTTCTTGTTAGACCCAGACCAATGAGAACTAGGAGGAAGCAAAGGGGTGCGGCCATGCCTACTTGCCTAAGTGCTTTCTCCAGGACCGTCTGAAGTCCACGGAAACTCCACGCACCCGTGCTTTGTGCACAGACTCCCGCCACCAACCTGCCACATTGCTTCACCCTGCAACAGTGCATGGAAGGCACAGACGGGGCCATAGGAACCAGACCTCACCAAGGAGCCGAAGCCACTCCAGCCCCCAGTCTCTGTGACCAATAACTTTGCATCCAAGCAGCAGTTCATATAAACAATTTCCTTCTTCATTTTTGGCTGATAAAAACATATTTGCCCCAACTTCCTTGGATGCACCCATGGTTTACTGTGATACATGTATTCCTATTGCCATGTACCGCCCGTCCCAGATAAATAGCATTATTCTTTGGAAAACCTCTCTCTCTCTCTCTCTCTTCTCTCTCTCTCTCTCTCTCTCTCCCTGTTATGTAGGTTGACATCCCTAACAGGAGTCACAATTCAAACATGGCGCTTCAGCAAAGGCCCCCTGTGGCTGTGACCTGGCTGAGAAGGAGCCTGGCTCTGGGTGGCACCAGGGCATCTCAGACCCACTCTCTCCACCCGGCTCAGGATCTAATTGCTTTCCAGCCTCCCTAACAACAGGTGCGGCCCCAGGACTAGGTTCCGGCCAGGGGGCTACACACCGCGCCCATGCCTCCCACGAGAACCTCCTGCAGTGCCCTCCACGTTCTCTCCTTCCCTATCTCCTGGTTGAAAGGTGATGTCCTGGGAGAGGACCCTGAAGCCAAAGGAGACGGCAGTGCCGCAAGGCGGGCAGTGCCACAGTCCCTAAATCAACATCTGAAGCGCCTTAAACTCCTCTCTGAGCCAAAAATGAACTTCTGTTAGCCAGATTGCATTACCAATTGTTTTTCAATTTACTGAAAAATTGAGGTGGTACAGATTCTTAACGTCTCATATTGGTATGGTACATTTACTGCCATTAATGAGCCCAAATGGGCATATTACTAATCAAGCATCTAATTATTAGTCAATTGCCTATTTGATGGTGCAGCGATATGATTTCATTCATTGTAAGCCTAGATTCCTTAGTCGCCACCTCATGTCCTATTTCTGCTCCAGGGGCCCACCTGTGACACACGTTACACCTAGCCGCCCTGTCTCTGGAGGTTCCTCTAGGTTGTGACAATTTATCCCTTGTCTCTGATGACCTTGGCAGTCTTGAGGGACGCCTGCTATTGGGATTTGTCTGATTTCTTGTTTCCTGTTAAGACCAGGGATGTGGTGATTTTTGTTGTTGTTGTTCAGGATGTTCTATTCTAGCTCCTGGGAGCCCTCAGCTGGCTCCTGTGCCCCTTGGACACAGCCCTGGCGAGGCGGGATCCTGTGTCATGGGTTTGTTGGAGCACTTCGTTCGTTGTCGGCAATACAGCAGCTCTTCTGTCAGTCTGTGTACGCCCTACCTTATTCCTAGAATTGGCCATTTCTTCGAAGGAGCCCCGGATCCGGCCCCTGAAGGATGGTGTTAGCAAGCAGCCCCAGGCAGCACCTGTACTGGTGGCTACTGCGACGCTGTGCAGTTTTGCCACTTCCCCTGACGGAGCACAGCATGATACGTTTTTATGCTGACTCAGGTACAGACACCTACGTGTCAGTGAAGGCTCTTCAGGGAGTTCATGCAAAATGCATATTACGAAAAACCTATGCACTGATTTTTTAAAAAACTTACACCGAAATAAACTTCCCTTGCAACCCTGCTTTTCCAAAACCTCCTGGCAGTACCTGCGGATGCATATTTCCCTCTGTAGCCATCTGCAGCTGTATGAAGCTAGACAGGAGTTCACACGGCTGTCTCCAGCTGCTTTCCACGCCCACATGGCTCCTCCTTGCTCCCCGCACACCACCCTCTGGATGATTTCTAAACTCCCACGCCAACAGCGAGATGCTGGGCCCAGCCACCTGCCTTCTGTTTGCTCGGCTGCCCCTTCCGCCCCACGTGCCTCGCAGTAGCAGAATCGCTGACCCAGCGATAAGACCTCCCGTATCACCTGCTCATCTAGAACATTGGCTCCTCCCAGGCAGAAGGTGGAGTCTTCTCTGAAAGCCTTCTCAAAACTGCCTCAGCTGACCAGAAAAATACAATATTCTTTATCCCGCAGCTTTGGGACACTCGCTTTAACACCCAAGAGTCGCCATGCTGTGAGGTGTCCAAACAACCCTGCGGAGGCCCAAGCGAGAGGGACCGAGGCCCGCAGCCCCCAGCTCCGCTGAGCTCCCTGCCGGCAGCCAGGGGCAACGTACCAGGCCCAGGGGTGAGCCCTGTGGACAGTGCAGCATCCGGCCCCAGGGCGGCTGAAGCTGGGCAGAGCAGAGCCAAGCCACCCCGGCAGACCCTGCCCCGTCGAATGTCTTGGTCCCTCAGGATTTTACACCGGGACGTCTGTCACACTAGGTGACACGTAAGCCACCGCCAGCATCTCGGGCTGTCTGGGAGTTATCTGATGATGCTGGCATCTCTGAGACTTGGCGCTCAGCGCTCATCTTGCAGCACTGCCATTGGGCTCCAGTGAGATGACGTGAGTGCAGAGGCGGGGTCTACCCAGGAGCTCACCAATCAGTGCCATCCATGGGGGTGCCTCGGCCGCCCCAGCCACAGTAGCAGCCGTAGAAGCCGTAGTTGGTCAGGGCGTTCTTTCCAGTCACCTTCTCGATCATGGACTTCAGGTCTAACAAGCTCCCTGGCACGGCAGGCACACCTGAAAAACAGTCCGTGTCCCCAGGTGACCCTGGGAAGCCCGCTCCGGGTCTTCTTCCCAGTACCACCTGTCCTTTCCCCAACCCTGGGGGGTGGGAGTGGGGGGAACAAAGGGAGGGCAGGCAGGAGGGTGGAAGTGGTTGAGTTTGGACATGGAAAATGGGCAGACTAGGGTTCAAATCCTGGTTCTACCTCTAATTAGAATCTGATGTTGGGTGCCGGCACCGTGGCTCACTTGGTTAATCCTGCGGCACCGGCATCCCATATGGCCACTGGGTTCTAGTCCCAGTTGCTCCTCTTCCAGTCCAGCTCTCTACAGTGGCCCGGGAGGGCAGTGGAGGATGGCTCAAGTGCTTGGGCCCTGCACCCGCATGGGAGACCAGGAGGAAGCACCTGGCTCCTGGCTTCAGATTGGCGTAGTTCCGTCTGTGGCAGTCATTTGGGGGGTGAACCAACGGAAGGAAGAGCTTTCTCTCTGTCTCTCTCTCTCACTGTCTAACTCTATCTGTCAAATAAATAAATAAATAAATAATCTGATGTTGAACAGGCAAGGGACCATTACAGAGCCTCGGTCTCCTCATCCAGAAAATGGGCGTCTATAATCAGCGCCTACCTCTCAGCGGTGTCAGGAGGGTTAAAATAAGAGAAAGTGCGTGAATTTCAAGCACAGAGTAAGTGACTGAGCAGTAGTCGGTGTCATTCAAAGGATCTCTGCAAGAAGCAGGCAGAGAGGAACTTCCCGTCTCTCTGGCATTAACACCCTTCCCCCTGCCACCCTCACAGGCACAGACTCTTATTCGTAAGGCATAGAATCTCCAAGCAGGATGGGGCCCTTAGCCGCCCCCATAGAGAGGCTGTTGTGACTCAGCGGCGTTAGCCGTGGCTTGTGATGCAAGCATCCGGTACCACAGTGACGGTTTGAGTCCCGAAGGCTCGGCTTCCAGTTCTGCTTCCTGCTAATGTGCCCAGAAGGCAGCAGTACCTGGGTCCCTGCCACCCACATAGCAGACTGGGCTGGAGTCCCTGGCCCCTGGCTTAGGCCTGGTCCCGCAGCCCTGGCCGTTGTGACCATTTGGGGAATGAAACAACAGATGGCAGATCTCTCTCTTCTCTTTCAAATAAATAAATAAATAAATCCTAACTGTACAATAAATAAATCCCACCTTACAAAGTGGGAGACCGAGGCCGGGAGGGAGAGTGCCCTGTTCAGGGATTCAGAGTGGGTCTCAGGCTCTCCTGCCCCAGGCTCTCCTGCCCTGGGGGCTTCTGGCTCCTCCTTGGCTCTCCCCAGATGGCACGGGGTAGACAGCCTGGCAAGGGTTGAGTCCTGGGTTACAGGGCTGGAGGGACAGGGACTGGTCAGCTCTGGTCACCACCCAGGTGGCAGGCAGCCCCGCATGGGATATGCGGAAGACCCAGGCAGGCCTGGGTGGAGAATGGCCCGGGGATCACGGGCTGGAGCCCTTGGAGAAGGGGCGTGGTCTCTATTTTGCTCTCCCTGTTCTGTTCTGGCCTCCTCTTGCTTGCGTACTGGGAAGCAAATATGCCACGCGTGCCCCACGTCTGCAACCTGGGCCTGCTGACGTTTGTCTCCGAGGACCCTGCCTCAGGCCTCCCCAGCCGTGGTACCGTCCCACGGAACACGGGAGACCAGGAGGCTCAGAGACCCCGCGGCTCCTGCTGACATCCGCGTCCACGCGGTGAGTGCGGAGCTGAGATGCAAAAGCCGTCTCTCTGTGGTCTCCAAGACCCTTCCCCTTCTCTGTCTCATGCCCACGGGTGGAAGGTCACTCAGAGGCCACGGGGCCAGCACTTACCACAAGCCAGGAACCACGCCAGCGTGAGGAGGCCCTTCATCTCTGGGGTTCTGGAAAAGAAAACACATCCATGACACGACTGTCCTCCTGCCCCCCACCTGGCTCCCACCAGGCGCTCCCCACCCACCGCTGGGGTCTGGGCCTGCTGGAGCCTCTGTGTTGAGACTTAAAGAAGTCTAAGAGTGGGGACGGGAGCCCTGGGGAGTGACCAGGGTTGGAGGAATCCATCATGGGAGAGGCCCCACGACGTGAGGCTGTGGACACACACAGACAGGTCCCGGCCCTTGCCACGTGATGCCCTGAGCCACATCGGGGCTCTGTCGGCAAGAAGGCTGTCACGAGACGCAGCCCCTTGAAGTACACCTCTTTTCCCCAAAATGTCGGGCAGCAGCTTGGTGTTTAGGCACAGCAGGTTAAGCCACTATCTGTGATGCCAGCATCACACATGAGCGCCGGTTCTAATCCCGGCTGCTCCATTTTCTATCCAGCTCCTTGCGAATGTGCCTGGGAAAGCAGAAGAAGATGGTCCAAGTGCTTGGGTCCCTGCACCTGTGTGGGAGACCTGGAAGAAGCTCCTGGCTCCTGGCCTTGGATCGGCCCAGCTCCGGCCAGTGTGGCCATTTGCAGAGTGCACCAATGATGAAGGATGTTTCTCTCCGTCTCTCCCCCTCTCTCTGCCATTCTGCATTTATAAATTTGTATATAAAGTTTCCCAGCTTCAGGTCTTTAGTCATAGGAAGGAGAAACAAACCAAGCACCAGGTGACCCTAACTGGAAAAGATGAGACAGAAAGCTCCAGGTGGTGACCAAATGGGGTCCCTGGAGGCAGAAGGGGCACTGGAGGAAGGCTTTGTGGGGACACTGTCCCCCCCAGAGCTGGGGGAGGACGAATGCCTGGACACACCCGCCCCTGCACAGGAAGGGCTGAAAGCACCCAGGGACACGGGCCGTCTCCAGAGGAGCTGTGCAGGTGCGGGTCGAAGGCAGGGTCTGACGCACCTGGACCCAGCCATTGACCCAGCCCAGAGCCCATCCTGGCCAGAGAGAGCACGGGTGGGGGCAGGGAGGGAGCAGGTGCAGCTCTGTCTTAGGTTCCCGTATCTCACGGTGCTGCCAGCACCTGCTTTTGAGACATCACCTCTGCTGGTTCTTTGGGGGCAGAAGCTGGGCAGATTCACCCCCTCATCTCCACGCTGCTGCAGGGGGGTCAGGAAGGGCGCACCAGCACCCCCGAGGGGTCAGTGGCTTCTAGGGCCTCCCTGGGGCTTCTTGGGGCCCCAAGCACTTTGTTTCCTTTAGTTTTTTTTTTTTTTCTTAAAATAACACTATATATGTATGTACATATGAAATTATGCTCGACATTTACACTGGCCAGAAGACACACACACACGCACACACACACATACATGCACAAAACCCAGGCTGGGTTAATTATTATATATCCATTATTCTATTAATTTTTTTCTTCCTGATGTTGAAAGACTTTAAAATCAAGACACTTCCCTGGACCTACGCACTGTGCCTACTTAGAAGATACACTGACCCTGGGTGCTCCCAAAGGCTCTGCAGAGTCATTGTACCCATTTTACGAAGGGGAAAACCGAGGCTCAGAGAGCTCAGTGAGTTTGTCAGAAGTCACACAGCTGGTAAGAAGTGGAGGAAGGGAGCTGGCGCTGTGACCTAAAGGTAAAGCTACCGCCTGCAGTCCCGGCATCCCATATGGACACCAGTTCGAGTCCCAGTTGCCCCACTTTTGATCCAGCTCTCTGCTTTGGCCTGGGAAAACAGTAAAAGATGGCCCAAGTCCTTGGGCCTCTGCACCTGCATAGGAGACCTGGAAGAAGCTCCTGGCTCCTGGCTTCGGATCGGCGCAGCTCCTGCCACTGTAGCCATCTGGGGAGTGAACCAGTGGATGGAAGACCTCTCTCTCTCCCCATCCCCCCTCTGCCTCTTTGTAACTCTGCCCTTCAAATAAATAAATAAATAATCTTTAAAAATTAAAAAAAAAGTGGAGGCAGGATTCACACCTAGGCCTTGAGGGCCTCCCTGGCCCCAAGCCCCCCACCCCCCAGGGGCGAGGACTTTGACCCTAGGGTGCTGTGTCCCTTCCACGGCTCCACCTCATAACATTTCCATCCCAAGAATCCGTCTTTGGCAAACGCCCTCATCCCTTGAGTCCAAGGCCAATCATTGGAAGAAATGCCACGCCTGCTCCTACCGCGGCCTCCCTGTTTCCTGCCCTCCCTCCCAGGACCCCACAGGCCCGGCTCCTCCACGGCTGCCCAGCTGACAACACCCCTGCAGTGCCCTGCTGCACCAAGTCCCCAAGCAGAGGGGTCATGGGTGCCAGTGCGCAGCCGCCCGCCTGGTACCTCCCAAGGCCTGGCCTCCTAACACAGACCTCGGACTCCTGGGACGCCCTGGCTGCTGGGCTGGCCTCTGTCCACAGCCCTTCAAGCTCTGCGGACATTCCCAAGGGTTCTGTCCACCCCTGCTCTGCGTGCCAAGGGCTCCAAACAGCCAGGGCAAAGGCCTTGGGCTCTACTCTTCCAGGCCACCCCTTCCCTATGGTCCCTGACCACTCGGTGGGCAGTTCCATGGTGCTGTGATCGTCCACTGTCCCTGTAAGCCCACAAGGACCTTGGAGGTGCACATGGATCAGTGTGCTGGCCGGGGATCTGCCCTCCGAAGCCGTGGTTGGCTGAATGAACTTTGGTTTTAGGGACACGAAGAGCGAGGCTCAGGCAGTCCCGGTTAGTCGGGGAAACCGACTGTGACCTTGACTGAATCCGCTCCTTGGCCTCTGGGCAGCCCCCGGGCACTGCACCTGCTCTCTCCTGTCTGTGTCTTGTTGATGCTTTGACATCCTGAGGGGCCTGCTGTCCTGGGAGACTCTGCCCTTCTTACCCTGTCCCCCAGGGCTGGCGAATTCCACCCCGGCCCCTCCAGAGAGCAGGCCCTTCCTGTGCAAACCACCCAGCCCCCTCTTTGCCCTAACACACCCCAAGCCACTGTTTCCCCTGCCCTCCATCGTGGGCCAGGCAGCAGCCAGCATCCACCTGCCCTGCCCTGCCGTGTGGACCACAGCCAAGGCCCCACACTGTACTTTCCTCCTGCCTCCAGGCCAGCCCTGGCCCGTGCCCGCACGCCCGTGGCCTGCACGCCAGTTCCGTCTCCTGGGAACCCTGAGTAATGAACTCTCTTTCAAACGGCAGCGATTTCCCGATCCAATGCCCCCGCCCGCCCCTCCCCCATACATCCGGGTGCAGTTTAGAACACCTGGGCCTGCCCCTGCCCGTGTGAGGGAGCAGCAGGAGGCTCCTGCAAAGGAGTCTGGGAGAGAAAAGCCCACGTGTCCCGGGGAGGTGGCCTGGAGTCGGCACTGCCCCAGGGAAGGATGTGGCCAGGGCTGTTTTTATCCGGCCACCACAAAGAGCCGCGTGCTCAGCCACAGGTCATTTCCAAGGGAGCGGTGGCTGTAGCAATGGGCGGCGGCAGACGGACGGATGGCAGCACAGGACCTGGAGGCCGGGGAGCCACCGATCACCCGCGGGATAGCTCCCTGCGTGGCCACTGGCAGGGAGGATCAGCAGGCCCCACGCCCCTCTGCACGGAAGGCAGCGCTGAGACCCCCTGCAGACTGCGAGGGAGGTGGGGCCTCTCCACGCCTGGTCCCTGCACCAAGTGGGCCAGGGTCTCCCCTCGCAGCTGCCCACCCCCCGGGTCAGGCAGCCCCCAGAGACAGAGCCCTCACCAGTGAGACCGTCCGTGACCCTCAGGCTGGAGAAGAGGCTGCAGCTGGGCCCGGCTGTTTTTAAGGGCCTCTCTGGCTGCCTCCCATATTCCTGCCTGGGCCTGCTCCCAGATTCCCCTCTCCCCCACCCCCACCCCCAAGACCCTCGGGGACTTTTCCATCTTGTGTTCATGAGTAGCTACTTCCTGCGCAGGTCACAGCCTGGGTGACTCTCAAAGATGCGGAGGAGGGTCTGGCTGGGCCACCCACTGTCGGAGACTCTCCTCCACCAGGAACGGAGCCCTGGACCCCCCTGTGGGGGAACAGCCTCCCTCCCTCCCTCCCACCTCAGCAGGTCCCCAGCCCTTGGCAAGCGTCCTGGTTCTGCCAGCCCCTGGCTCCTGTTTCATCCTGTCTCGCTCAGCCTGAGCCAGGGACAGCCTGGGGAGCCAGGCAGCACTACCCCTGCCCGGACCGAAGCATTGCCCCAGCCCTGGTCCTGTTGTTCCCAGGCTGGGGCGACTCGGGAGCCCATGAAAAGCCCACCCTGGAAACGCTTCGAAATGCTGCCTCCCCGGGTCCAGCAGGCACTGGCCTTCTGTCATCTGAGTCCCCATCAAACTCCTGCATTTTTTCCCTCAGGCACACGGGTAGAGAAGCAGTCACATCGTCGCTGTGTGACCCCAAGAAAGTTACTACACTTCTCTGTTTCTTTGCAGGAAACATGAAACTAATCACTCCCCAGCCCCAGAGGCTCCTGGTGAGGAATCCACCATGTGAAAATATCCACAATTATTATGCGTGAATCAAAACTTCGGCTTAAGGAAATGGAAATGCTGGCTACTGTGAACATTAAACATTATATATGCATCATGAAGGATCACACGTTAGCCCATAAAAACACAGTAATAAATAAGGGGGCGGGGTCAAGCATTTGGTGCAGTGGTCAGGTCATGGCCCGGGACACCCACAGCACACAGTGCAGTGCCTGGTTTGGGTCCCAGCTGCTCTGCTTCCAATCCAGCTTCCTGTCAATGAGCAGCCAGGAGGCAGCAGGTGTTGGCTCAAGTACTTGGGCCCCTGCCACCCATGTGGGAGCCCCGAATTGAGTTCCCATCTCCTGGTGCTGGCCTGGCCCAGTCCTGGCTGCTGTGGACATTTGGGGAGTAAACCAACAGAAGGAGGATCTCCTCTCTCTCTCTCTCTCTCTCTCTTGTTCTCGGTGTCTCTAAAATAAAACAAAAATCAAATATTTCTCAAAGGTATATAAAATACCGTCAACAGGGCTCTGGGTCGCATGGGCGTCGACGCAGGCTT